TGTCAGGGTGTTCCCAAAGAGAGGGATGAGGGAACACTCCCACCCCCACCTTTGCCAGGGCTCAGCCCATCTCAAACCTCAGCACAGTTTGAGTCTGCACTTGAAATTCTGACTTTAAAGAAAAGCTATTTATACATTTCAGGGTGAAATCAGTGGAGAAATCTTAATTTCTTCCCAGTGCTCTCATTGGGAGTCTTGAAAATATTTCCTGGCTGGCTGCAATGTGCACCTTGCTTAGATTATCCCTGGAGGATTCCTATTGCAGTCCTAAAAATGAGGCAAGGCAAGGCAAGGGGGAGATTCTTCAGCTGAAGAATTCCTTTTTGTGAAGATAAATTATTTCCAAAGGTAAAAAATAGCAAAGGATGTTACTTGAAAGAGGCAGGAACTTGTTTGTGGAGCTTCCAGAAGAGTTTGCACGCTGTAACATTTCCCTGTGCTGGTGAGAAATCAGCTTTTTAAATACTTGCAACAGAATTTTTATAGTTCCTAAATGATAGAACAGGAATGCTGTCAGCCTGTCCTGACTTAATTCAGTATCATTTTAAAGGAGGCTTTATAAATCCCTGCCTGAAGGATTCTAAAGTACCTTAGCAGCTACTTACAGGTAATTATTGGAGTTTATTTGAATAAGCAGATTATTGTAGCATGCATGTGTTCAGAATTAAGGTGAGAGCAGCCCAGCAGGAATTTTTGATTTTCATATTCCTTTGCCTTAGGGACAGCTCAGTCTTTTACTGCAACTGCAGCTTTTCTTTCTGACCAGATGTTTGTGATACAGCAAGAAACGGAATGAAAAATCTCTTGCAGGACACTTAAAATAATTCAAATGTATCTGCACAGCTCATCCCAAGGCAGGAAAATGAGATTTAACCCCTGCCATCAAACTTGAGGCTAAATTAGAGTTTAGACTTTGCTAAGGAGATGTATTTTTTACCTTTGGAATATGAAATAAGTGAAATTTCAGTAACCTGAAGCACATTTTAGGTGGTTTTGGTCTCCATTGCTGGATGCCTGTCCTGTGAGTGTTGCACAGTGCAGAGGTGGAATTCCAGCTGCTGCAAGCTGGGATAGAAATATTGATAAGGTTTCATTCCTTGCTTTCCTCCTAGATTTAGAAAGCTGTCTGAATTGAAGACTTTAGTATTTTATTTTAATTTTTTTTTTTTTGCACACCACGAGACTTTATATAAAAACTACTTGTATCCTGTTAGAGGCCAGTAAAAGCCAGCAATTAGTTTGTGTTTTTAGGCTTTCCTGGGGTATTCCCTGGATCACAAGTGTGGAGCATCCTGATAAAGCTCGTGAGTTTTATCTATGCATGGCTAAATTTTAGTCTTAATATCCTGTAGTGCCTGTAGAGCAAAGGTAGCTAGCAGTGGGGTTTGGGGGGGCTGCCAGGGGTTTACAACTAAATCCAGTTGGTTGCATGAGATGATTTCACAGCCCAGAATTTTTTTAGGAATCCCAAAATTCTGGTGGTGGTGGTGGTGGGGCTGCAATAAAAAAGGGGCATTAGGAAATGGTGGCTCCAATTGGAATTGTTTTGCCAATGAACTCAGTGTAAACCCAGCTGTTCCAGTTCTCTCACCTGCAAAGCCATATTTTTAGAGTAGTGGGATGTGATGTGGGAAGAAATTCCAGTGGTTGGGACAGCAGGCACGTGCTGGAGGCTTTGTCTCAACTCCTGAGTGGATACAGAGTAGATTTAAGTGCAATTGATTGAAAATAGATGAAGATGCTGTAGCTGATTTTTGCTCTGCTGAACTCTTTTTAAGAACTCCAATTTGTGCAGCTCTCACATCAACATGGATATGGGGCTTGGTCCAGCTGGAATTCCCAGCCCTGTGAACAAAAAAAGAAAAGGAAATAATTGGGTTGTGAGTGTGCAAATTGAGGTGTTCCTTAAAAACTGGAGCAGGAGAGCTCGGAACGAAGGCCTAGAACCCTCCTGTGCTGTGCTGCATGTGCTCTAT